CTCTACCGAAGATGTCTAATTGCTAGGTGGATTGATAGCAACTCTCTTCTTTAAAGCACAACATCTCATTTGCAAAGGATTAAGTCGTTTGGTGAAGAATGGTGCTGGTTCCCAGTTGTCTTCAACCATTTGATTTAGAGCCGCTCCTGCAGCCATACGTGAGGTGTCCAGTAATAATTCAAGAGGAGCATCTGGAATAGGATATTTCGAGGTTGTGGTTTTCGCTAACTTCTCTTTCACCTGTGCAACTGCGTCGGATGCCTCCTTTGACAGTATAAGTGTACACTCCCCCCCTACAACACTTAACCAAATTCACTCTCTGGACAGAAGCAAACTTCACGTTTCCCTCTCACTAGTCGATGTGGCGCAATATAATGTGACTGCCACGTTATGGTGGTTCAGACACTCTCCTGGGGTATTATAGTTTGGTGAGCTACGCTAACATTTATTTTTCCAGACCTCATGCATTTACCGGTCATTTTCCATGATACAGCGCGCCCGTTTATATTTGATATACGACAAACATTCATGACCCCTAGAGAGCAAAAGAAGAATGTTAATTGGTGATCACACAAAAGTGAAGTTGGATGATGTTTTTGAACAGTGCCACTAGCTGATTCTTGAGACGAGAAAGTGCGAAATGATATATATCCTGGTGACTGGCATACGGTTATCATCCAAATTCACTGTACAACGTGGAACTTTTTCGAGTTGAGCGTTGTGAAAATGTTTGCGCCCCCTGAAACAGTTGGGAAAACCAGAACCCACGTATTTTTGTCCCCCAAAAGGACTGTGGACCCGTGTTTCTCAAAGGAATATGGAGATGTTTTATCCCCAACGACACTGAACCACGCGTATCCACAATTCCCACTGAAACAAGTCAAAATCTCAAACCCCCTCAAAATTGGGTGTGTATTCACTGACGATAGAAATCCACCAATGACCACACACATCGATACTTTGCGGAATGTTTCAGAATTGTAAGGTAATAAAATCCCATTCGAAATGGAATTAACCAAATCCAAACCGTGAACAAAATGTAGTATGTATCTTTGTTTTCATCTATATGCTGATAAGCTTAGATCGTCACTCGTGAATATTAGTTATGGAAGCGTATACGACAATGTAGTTTGGTTTCTTAACATAATTATTCGCTAGTAATGAGGTGCCATAACCTTCGACACCTTGTAAAGTCAACTTTAAATAATAGTCAAATATATGACAACCATGGCCCAAACAAACAAACTGGACTATATATCAATGAAAACAACTGAATGTGCAATTGAAGGTTGTCTACAGGCATGAGCATTAATAATTATGCACTGTGTACGTATTATATTTCAACTTGCAAATGGAATCCAGGCAACTGTCTGCAAACTGCGATTGTTTAATGTGGTCCTGTTAATTGTTACTGTTTGACGATGCCTGTAATCTGGCTTCCCTAATGTGCTACAATATGAGAAAAAATTGTATAATTATTGGTATCGGAATCACCATTCGCTGGTCAAGCTTCCGGTTTCGAAAGTGGGATACAGGACTCTGGGAAACTTACTTCCTGTTTGCTGCACACTATCTTTCAAGAGCTACGAAATGTGATTCCATCTGGGTTCCATGTTATTTTCTCTTATGAGGGTGGTATTTTTGGTTGAATGTTTTGAAATCACAAAAGTCTGAAAATTAGGGTCCGTAAATTACTAATTCACTGTCTACGTACGCTATCAACACGATAGCCTTCATTGTTCTTTATTTCTGTTATTGTCTTGCATTTCTACGATAAGAGAAACCAGGTGACCGTCGCATCTGAATTTCAAAGCCAGGCTATTGACAATTAGTTGCGCATTATTTCTAAACTTTGGCAGACGGCTACCCTGTAATAACTGTAGTGAATTGAATGATAGACGTTTTCACCTTATTCTGTCTGCGCCTGAACTAATCTGTCTATCTGCTCGTCGTACCTTCCGACTTAGTAAAGCACGCAAATATCAAAAGACAAAGGCTGGACTGTGACTGTGTATTGAGGTGCCACAACGATAAAGAAAGCCATGGTATTTATACATTTTACAACAATATGGACAGCTAACAGCATTTGAAATAATTTATCTTAATAGCCAATAACAAAGTGCGTGAGAGATGATAATATACCATATGTGCGAAGTTGACAGTCAGTAACAAAATGTGTGGGAATGATAATATACCATATATACAAAATTAGCAGTCACTACCAAAATGCGTGAGAATGATAATATACAAAATTAGCAGTCACTACCAAAATGCGTGAGAATGATAATATACAAAATTAGCAGTCAATACCAAAATGTGTGAGAATAATAACATACCATATATGCAAGTTTAAACAGTCAATACCGAAATATGTGGGATCCTATCACCTCCCCCCGTAAAGAGTGTAGGACTTGCTTTTTGGATCTATTTGAAAAGGTTTCGGAGCTCTTCTTTGTCGAGTTGACCTTTGCGTGGTACTGGATAGAGCGTGATCTGTGTGTCTGACACATAACTATCCTTTTTCATTCGTACGATAATGCAGCAAGAATTTATCCAAAATTTTTTCTGTTGTTCCCTCCCCCTTCGCTTTTGCATAAGCACGCTTAAGGGTGTCGACGAAACGTTCAGTAATAGTTGACGTAGGTGGGACACTGTTGCGATTGATGTGGCAGAATGCATAGGAAATATCTCTGGCCATTTGGAAAACGCGTCGACACATATTAAGAAATGCATACTATTGAACGGTCCAGCGAAGTCAACATGAACACGGGACCATGGTTTGTCCGGTCGTGGCCAGGAACATAGTTCTGTCTTGCGTGGACACTTTGATGCTTGAGCACATTTACTACACTTGCGAACGAGGTCTTCGATATGGTCATCGATGTTGGGCCAGTAAACATAACTGCGAGCGATCGCCTTCATTCTCCCAACACCAGGATGTGATATATGAAGCTGCCGAAGCACATGGTCACGAAGATTAGCTGGAACGACAACACGATCAGCAAACATTATGCATCCATTAACGATGGATAGGGATTGGCGTAGCTGGTAAAACTGTTTTAAAACATTTGAATGAACATGTGGAGGCCAGCCAAATCGGATGAACTTTGATACTTGCTGTAAAACTGGATCACGCAGTGTGTGTCTGGCAACCTCAACTGCAGTCACCGGAAGATCGTCCAGAGAGATAGACATTATAATTGGGTTGTAATTAACACAGTCAAAAATGTTATATAGTTGCGCTGAACAGAATAAAAACTGTCGTCGTTGCGTGCTATAACTGCGATGAATTAAAGTAAATCCCCGTCGCCAATTGTTATAACTGCACTGAATTAAGGTAAAACCCCGTCGCCAATTTGTTATAACGGTAGGGTATTGGATGAAGTCGTTTTCACCTTATTCTGTCTGCGCCTGAACTAATCTGTCTATCTGCTCGTCGTACCTTCCGACTTAGTAAAGCACGCAAATATCAAAAGACAAAGGCTGGACTGTGACTGTGTATTGAGGTGCCACAACGATAAAGAAAGCCATGGTATTTATACATTTTACAACAATATGGACAGCTAACAGCATTTGAAATAATTTATCTTAATAGCCAATAACAAAGTGCGTGAGAGATGATAATATACCATATGTGCGAAGTTGACAGTCAGTAACAAAATGTGTGGGAATGATAATATACAAAATTAGCAGTCACTACCAAAATGCGTGAGAATGATAATATACAAAATTAGCAGTCAATACCAAAATGTGTGAGAATAATAACATACCATATATGCAAGTTTAAACAGTCAATACCGAAATATGTGGGATCCTATCATACCCCCGACAGAAGGGGGTATTTTACCACAGATTAGGCAGTGACTTTACGCACATTGAACTGTGGTGGCATCGTCCACCATTTCTAGAGAAGGTTATCTGTAAAACCAGTGTCACTGTCTCCTGCTGGTCAGAAATGCAAGTCGTCGAAAAAATCTTCTGCAAAGACATATGAAACCGCCCAGGTTATATGTTGCAGCGTTACATTCTGATTTAAGTTTGTGTGAGATCAATGGATCTCTTAAAGTCTGAAGGCATTGACGTTCACGAGTAGTAGGAAGTATACTAAGGCAAGTTCAAATACCCACAACTTCTATTGTGTTCGTTGCGTGTGGATGAAAGGCAAATCAGAACACCAGAATTGATCGTCATAATTGAGAGTTACATTTCGGGACCAAAGTATATAGGCTCGCTTGTTCAGTTGTTGAAAGAAAGGATCAGGTGAGCTGACACCACCTCTCATAGAGTTGGGTTTTAAGAGCTAATGATTCGGTGGGAGAACCAGTACTCCAAGGTTATTTAGTTGCTCCTTTCTCTTTGAAATGTCGTACACTCTCGTCTAGGGTGCTACAATAAGATGAAAATGAACTCACAAGGTAGTAGTAGTCCTCAGTATTCACCTCTTCGAATTTCTTACATCGTGATTCGTTCTCTGAATGTATACAGCATAATATAGAGAAAGTATATGAACCGTTAAGTTTTTCCGCGCATGACAGATTAGTCACACCAGCAGTCATAAATTTGGACTTACTTCGATTACTTCCTAGAATGTATGATTCCCTTCATGAACAGTGGCTTTTAGCTTTAACCTCACCGGGAATGCATTATATTGGTTAGCGTTATCACTGGTTATTCTAGCTGTGTTCATGCGTATCGCCAGTGAGAATGTGAAGCAACTAGTTGCAACTCTAAGACAACAGTGATTCACTATGACATTTAGATCAGTGTAGGTCTCAGTCTAGGGAAGTGGTGTTCTGCAGTGTCGTGTGTGCTTAGTCTTGAGTACCGGATGCTCGATTACTCACTTTACTACAAAGACAAAAAGGATCCATTTATTTGAGCAGCCTAAGAGATTGCTGAACTATGTTTGCATTGTAAGCATGCAAAGGTTATCTTTCAGCTGTCTGTAAATTTTCAAGTCACCTGTCAATGTCCAATAAATTTTGCATTGAGTTATATTAATTGTGGAGTTAGAATAAATAAATAAGTAAATGTATTGAGCATTCATTATTCTGTATCACTTTGTTTCTTATTCTGTTTGGGTCTTATTCATACGTGCATACAGTGTGTTTGACTAAACTTGGATGTCTCGCTATTTGAACCGGTGTTCTAAGTCTTGTGAGGCTTGAATGACATTTCTGGTGCTTAGATGTCTCCAACTCCTCCATCCAAACGACAAAAGATACTGTCCGCTGTAGAAAACAACAACAATAATAATTTTCACACAAGTACCGACATTAATTTATCAAACGTACGTCATAAAAGAATTAAAATATTCACTCCATTTCTTTAGGGGATGGAAGCTAACGGAGAAGTTCCTGATTTAGACGAAAGTCTATATAGTCGTCAGCTTTATGTTTACGGCACTGAAGGGATGCGTCGGATGGCAGCTACTGACATTCTAGTTATTGGGCTAGAAGGCCTTGGTCTGGAAATAGCAAAAAATATTACTCTCGCTGGAGTTAAGTCTGTCACTTTATATGACAATACCCCTGTATGCCTAAGTGACCTTTCTTCTCACTATTTTGCAAGTCAGGATGATATTGGACATCCTCGTGCTGAAGTTTGCAAAAATAAGCTAGGCGAGTTAAATAATCATGTGTCTATTCACGTCCTAAACAAGTCGAAACTTGGATCGGATGATCTAAAGAAATACAATGTAGTGGTATTTACGCAGGCGTCAGATGACTTGTGCGCAGAGTACGGAGATATTTGTCGCAGTTTAGGAATCAAATACATAGTTGCCACAACCTGCGGACTCTTTGGGAAAATATTCTGTGATTTTGGAGCAGAGTTTGTTGTTTATGATCCAACAGGCGAGGATCCGCCCTCGACAATGATTCAGCAAATCGAACAAGTAAGTTTCTTCCTTGTAAATATTCTGTAGAGCAAAAAAGGGCTTGTAACTTGCTTAGAAGAAACGCGTCATGGATTCCAAGACGGAAATTATGTAACTTTTTCCGAAGTGAAGGGTATGGTTGAACTAAATGGTTGTGAGCCTCGAAAAATTACAGTAGTTGGTAAGTAGCGTTTCTGTGTGTTCTATTTTCTCAGGGCCTGATGCTTTTTCCATTGGTGATACTTCTAACTTGAGTCCTTATATATCTGGTGGTATCTGTACACTTGTTAAAATGCCGATGAAAATCAGTTTCGTAAGTTCTTCACACATTACTGCTCTTATTTCTATAGCTACCCTACAGGACCGCCTATCGTTCTCCAGTTTTTATGACAACGGATTTTATCAAGACTGAACGTCCCGCACAACTTCATCTGTTTTTCAAAGCCCTGAGCAGATACAGGGATCACAATGGGTCTCTTCCTAAACCATGGTGTAAAGAAGATGCGCACACATTCGTTGGATTTGTTCACAAAGTGAATGAAGAACTTAAAGGCACAGAAGCTGCAGTTCCGGATGTTGACGAAAAACTAGCCACACTTTTTGCATACGTCTCTTCGGGTCAATGTTCTCCTATCCAGGTGACTTATTTGTTCTGATTGACTAACTTTGATAGTCTGTCATAGGTAGTTTTGCGGCCCAAGAAGTTATGAAGGCTTGTAGTGGGAAATTTACACCACTGCAACAATGGGCGTATTTTGATGCGGTGGAGTGCCTTCCTGAAGGTTCCATTGGCGATTTTGTAGTTTCAGAGAGCGATGCAAAACCTATTGGATCACGTTATGATAGCCAAATAGCTATTTTTGGACATACATTCCAAGAAAAAATTAAGCAGCTAAAGTACTTTATTGTAAGATATCATTTTCCTTAACACAATGCATTTAATTTACAGGTTGGTTCAGGTGCGATCGGGTGTGAGTTACTGAAGAACTTTGCGTTAATCGGAGTTGGCGCTGGAAAATCCGGAAAAATTATTGTTACAGACATGGATCTCATTGAAAGGTCAAACCTTAATAGACAATTTTTGTTTCGTCCGTGGGATATCCATAAGATGAAATCTGTTGTTGCCTCCACAGCTGTCAAGGCCATAAACCCAGAGGTTTGTAATTTTACTTGATTTAGTCGCCCTAGGTGATCAGTAAATTGTTAAGAAACTCATTTCACTTTGTAATGTTTAGATTATGCTGACATTGCTTCGTTAAATGTGGCTACTTAACTCATCACTTTCGGTTCATGGGATGTTCAGCTAATAAAGTAGAAACAGTTCTGAAGAGTCCGGGGTAAAATTGTATACCTAAAAAAATCTCTGCAACATTGCGTTTCTCGACCCCACTACAAAACGGTGCAAACACCAGCAAAACGCTTCTGTCTCCAGTCTCTGTCCGAGTTTAATTTTACCACCACTTACAATATGAAGCTAACTTCATCATCATCTTTCTAGTTAGGAACCATTACCACTAGAATAATATGGACTCATACGGACACTTGGACATTACTGGTTCGTAATCTCAATTTTAGCGGTTATTAGATCCGCAAACTACAACCATAACCTGTCTAGAAGAAGATTTATTCGGTACAAGCCAATTCTCATTTGTTTTTCGTAAGCTTTGTTTGGTTACGGTTTTCATATGCATTCTACCAGCAAGACGGTCGAAAATCTTTTTCACATTGAAATCTAACTGTGGTCTAGAACTAACTCTTTCATATGATATTTATAAGAGTTTGAACGGAACAAAAGTATTTGTACGAGCTCAGAGCTCTTATACAATAACACTATCTCACAAACTGACGATGAAAGACCCTGTTCCGGTTAACTGAATTCAATTTTTGTTAAAAAACAACTTAAACAGTTAGCACCGTTCCCGACTAATGTTACTCTTAGTTTCTACAGGTCACTCCTTGTCATCGTGGAAAACTTTTAGCCAGTTGAGATGAATCCTCGAAATAGAAAATGGGATCATATCCACATATGTCGTTCTTGCTTTGTTCAAATACAATTATTGTTGGACAGTAACCAAAGGAAGGAAATGAGTAGTGAACTTTCTTAGTTAATTTTCTACTTGAACGTTTCAGTACGTTTGCATCTTTTCTCACTTCAGTGGTAGGTCTTGAGGATGTTTCAGTGCATTGCTAAACTCAGGTCTGTCTGTTTTCGACACAACTTTGCACCGATGTGCAGCAGTTCAAGTCGCCACACCATGTAGCACACAAAGCAACAGAAGAAAGTTGAAGAAATGCTTAATAGAGAAAGTAAACAGAGAGGTCTGAGACAAAGGAAATTGAGGACGGTTTTGAGCCATATCACCAATTGTTTCCAGCCATTGGTTTTTACCGCCCCGAGGACCCCAACCAGCAAGTCTACACCTTCCTACGTGGCTTAGACTAACTGTTGTAGATTTCATTGACTGGTGCCATGTTTTGGCTCGACTGCCGCTAGCTCTTTTCCAGCCTAACCCTATGTTAGCTAACATTGCCCGTCGAGAAAAAACACACAAAGCCTTCCTGAGCTGAACTCAGGTGGTTTATTTATCTTTCAGCCTACCAAACTGTAGAGAATCATTCATAATATTTTGAATGATTGGACATTTGTTGCAACATATGTTGTATGCTGTAAATGTGGATTTCATTCCCCGTTTCTCACTAAGAGAATCCTTTCGTATATCTTCTTTTCAGCTCAATATTGAAGCTCATGAAAATCGTGTTGGACCAGAAACGGAAAACATATACGATGATGCCTTCTTCGAAAGTTTAGATGGCGTTGCTAATGCACTTGATAATATAGAGGCGCGCACATATGTTGACCGTCGGTGTGTGTATTACCGTAAATCCTTATTGGAATCTGGAACCCTAGGGACAAAGGGAAATGTACAAGTTGTTATTCCCTACTTAACAGAATCCTACTCATCTTCGCAAGTAGGTTTTGTTTCTTTTTGTGTAAATCTTAATAATGTATCGCAAAATCCATAATTTTAACTAAATTTCAACGGAGTTGAATGTGGTTGGGATCAACCTGTATAAGTCAATCAGAATTTTTTCAGGATGTTTGGTGCTACTCACGTATTTGCTGCTGATATGAAGTCCCAATTTATTCCTGACGTGATTAATGGGATCCTAAAATTCTGGGTTTTGAACTTTCTGTAAGCAGCATCGTTCCATTCAGTACCAAGACATCATAATGGGCTATCTTGATTTTCAAAATTACACGAATATTTGGTAGTAAACCTTAGGAAGTATTGATTTACGTCAGTGTTTTATATTTCCTGTGTTCGGCAGCTGCAGCCGAAAGATGCTTTCAGTAATGGTTATGCAGTTATCTTATCAGGGATAAACTTTATGCAGTAATCTTAGTTCTTTTTGTAATTCACAGGATCCGCCTGAAAAATCTTTCCCTGCTTGCACTTTGAAAAACTTCCCATATCTTATTGAACATACTCTACAATGGGCACGCGATTTATTTGAGGGCGTTTTCGTCCATCAATCCCAAGCTATGAATTCTTTCCTACAGGTTAGTTTAAACTATATAACCTCAGATCTTAGTTTTTTGTAGTCACATTCTATGTATGAAGGTGAACAGTAACTGTTCACATTTAGGTTCGTATATATATATATATATATATGTTCACAGCTCATTACTAATCATTTGTTCTAGTTTTCATTTTCAATGTCCTGGAGACATGTTCACGTTGTGCCTCATGTGTACAATCTTTTGACTGCGTGGACGAGACTAAATATGTTTCAGATTTTAAACGACGTTCATTGAAATTGCTCTTAAGTTCAAGACCTAACTGCCAAACCAGTATCATTCGTAATTACTTGTATAAGCAAAAAAAAACATTTAGGATTCTGGAAGTATATTCAGTTAAGCGGTTAATTCAAAGTTGTGACCAGTGTACTATTGACAATACAACATTGGTTATTTATCGTGCAAAGTGATAGTTTACGATGTGCTTGAGTCATAAATCACCGAAAAAATCGGTTATTCACCTTGGACTTAGACAATGCCTACGTATCAAAATGTGGGGTAATTACCAAAAGTGAAGTAACCAACATATTTTAATCTTTTATATGTCTAGTGGAACTGTTACTTAACAACAAAAGGTGAGAAAATAATTTAAGTATTTAGTTTAAACGGACAGTTACTGGTGGATAAAATTGAACGGTTTTGGTAACCAACATTCTTGTGTTAACGAATCTATTTCTGTCATGACGCTTTAAGTTCCTGAGATCATTTTCCAATGATTGTTCAGATGGTCTTCGTAAAAATGAGCAGTTTTGGGCTAGGTCACCTAATTGGAATCCATTTGACAACTGGAGCCTATTGGAAATTGTTTTATTTCAGTGTCACTGTTATCTGCACTAAAAGTCTACAGCTTCATGTTGGTTGCAATGTTTCCGCTTTGAAATGGTAGCCAATATCGGCTATTGTTTTACTCTCCACACGTTTTATTCACTTTTTCCCAACAGTACTTAATCCACTGACACTATGTTTGACGACACTTAAGTTAATTTTCTTTTTAAAGCAGAAAGTATCAGAAATTCCGTATCAAAGTCCTATGCCTTAGTTTAGTATGGTCTAAACCAAAATGGAGATGCTCTGAAAAATACTATATATTCTCACAAATTACTAAAACTAGTAAATCTCTACTATAGTAGGCTTCTGTTTATTAGGTCATGGCTTTATATTCTCTCTAGCAGTTATAAACGAGCCGTATTTGAGTATGCGTGCATCTTAAATATGTTGTATGCAGTCACCTCAAATTTGTACCGGAAGTAGATTTTAATAAATTATCACCATTTTTATGCTTACTCAAAGGTGTTTTTTTTTAAATTACCGTTCACCTTTATGCAGCAAAGCCAGTGAATTGTTTATTGGTTATCCTACATTTTAGTTGGGACGCTAGGTTTTATCTGCTCACACTAACATCATTTTATTGAATTGACTCATGCGTATTTAAAGTAATTACTCCTTATTTTGACCCCATAGGATCCTTCTGGGTTTTTGGAACGAACATTGGCAACTCAAGGAAGCCAGCCATTGGAGACTCTGGAAACCTTGAAAACTAATCTCATAGATAAAAGGCCAAACAATTTCGAAGATTGTGTAACGTGGGCTAGATTGATGTGGCAGGTAATTCCATGGTTATCAGCATATTTTGATAATTGTTTTTGACATATCAGGGTAAAATAAAAACCCCTAGGTATGCACAACATAAAATTAATTAGAATTCATTCTTTTGTTCTGTATTACTCTGTAGTACGGTCTCCATTGTTTCTTGTAAAGTTTAAATAGTAGCACCTCACTCTTCTGAGTCACATGAATTCCATTAAGAAATGGTGACTCAACACAGTTGCCATTAATTTCACGATTTTATGTTATTGCTGGCCCACTTTTATCCGGCATGTTGCTAGCCTGACCTACAGTAATCAGGACAAAAGCCTGTTTATGCAGCATGCGTAACCTGTTTAAATTGCACTATGTAGCGTTTCAAGATTTGTTGGATATTGTTATCCATCATGCACAAGCATATTACCATTTGTGGAAATTACCATATTTTGACTAAACTTAAGTAGGCAAGAGGAGATATCAGTAATCAGGGAACCATCAGTTCTAAACAAAATGCTCTATCTAATTTTTGCAGACAGGCGGTAGCTATTGTAAACAGACTGGTCTACTAGTTTCACTTTTTTGGTTCGTCCATTCACATTTTAAGACATCGTGTTCCCAGAATATTGTGATGGCATTCTTATGAACATTAAAACATTCTTCAGTTCATCTTTGCATATATACGAGTGGAAAATGGAAATATATCAGGTCTCGCACAGTGCTAATGCGCTGTTATGCGTACAATGTACAATGGAGAATCGTTCAATAGACTGTTAGAACCCGTTTTTCATAGTTGCTCAAACTACCGTAATTCACAGGTTACAAATGAATCATGTTAGCCACAACTTTAAACTATTTCTGCATATACTCTTACTTGCTTGGAGCCTGATTACTATTGCATAGTGCATTGTTGAATAGGAAGTTGGTTGTGCTTTATATTTCTTTATAGACTTCCGCAATATTCTTGTTGAGTTTAGATTTGTATTTCCTAGCATCTAGAACTGACATAGTATTTAAATGTATCTCACTTCACTTTTACAGGATTTGTTCTCAAATACAATCGCACAACTTCTGTTCAATTTCCCTCGAGATCATGTTACTTCAACTGGGGCTGATTTTTGGTCAGGAACAAAAAGATGTCCTCACCCATTAGATTTCGACACTCAGAATGTGAGTATCATGTCCCTATAACCTTGATTAAACTTCGACTTTATAATCTAAGTGATGCAAACAGAAAAGTTTTATTCCTAGTTTGTGATTGATTATTTCCTATTTAGCATAACTTTCAGAAATTTGTATTTGTATCAGTTCAAAAAATAGAAAATCATTGGATGTCAATTAGTTTTACTTTCAAACAGTATGAAATATCAACAAAAGTGAGAATACAAAAATAAATTAGGTCTATATGAAATTAAAAACGTCTTCAATAAAACTACCAATCTCTTACGTATCCCAGCATCTTAGTTAGGTGGACTATTTCGTCCTATCCGACTTATAAGTAATATTTTCTTTTACCAAAATCACTCGTAGATTTTCTCGTCCAGTTAACATTTAATGTTGATCGAGGGGCGGCGACGTGCCTCATATCTTGGCCATATATATGCAATCTTATCTACTGACTTGCCTCTATCGCTTTATATAGTATACATGGTAATGTCTTGCTGCCTTTAAGATTCGACAGTACTTTAGTGATACAGTAACAAAAAGTGTAATTTCCTTATGTTGTTCTATCTAGGCGTGGGTTACAAAAGAGTCAACTATTGTCAAATGTACCAGATCTTTTTGATGTGATTGTGTTCTCTGAGCTGGAGCAAAGCATTCATCACCTAGTAAGGTGATGAAAGCTTCGTAAATCAACCATTCGGCTCAGAGAACACAACCACATCAAAATCATCCACCTGACCTACAAATCCTCTCTATCATATCTAAATCTTACGAGCGGGTACCAGATCTTTGTTGGGTAGCCAGCTATTTGGTGCCAAATATGATATGGATAAAATTAGCCCAAAATCGTCCAGTGGAGCTTCTGTATTAGTGAAAGTGTCCTCAGTCATTGATTTTCCTGTCCATCTATTTACATGTTACCTAATCTACCGAATTATACAGCATCATCTTATAGGTGACATGCACACAAAATTTCGGTCATGTCCAAGTTTTAAAACCGAAACCGTACAGTTGAAATCATCTCATCTTTATCACCTAGTTCTGTAATTACCTTAATAATTTGCCGTCGTGTATCTTAAGTTATATTGCAAAATCGACGTTTTGACTCCCATCCTCACTTCACAGTGTTCATTTTAAGAGTAAATATATGTTTTGTTCTTATTTTGCAGCCAACACACATGGAGTTTATTTTAGCAGCATCGAATTTGCGAGCTGAATGTTATGGTATCCCACAATGTCGCAACCTTGCCAAGATTTCAGAGATAGTTCAAAATGTGATTGTTCCTCCATTTGTTCCTCGATCAGGCGTACGAATTGAGGTGACTGAAGCGGAGGCACAAGCCAGAGCAGCTGCACCAATAGCTGATGCATCACGACTTGAAAAGCTCCAAAAGGCATTGCGCAATTTCAGTAAGTGCTTACTCAGTTTGGTCCCTTTATTCCCACTTTCTGACTTACTGGGAAAACCACTAAATAACTACCCACCAAAATTTCCTGAGTATCCACAGCGACAATAAAAGTAGCGTTGACTAGGATGTGACCACAACTAAAGCATCCATGGTACTACCACAAAATGGAAGAGGCATCAGACACTGCGTCATTTTTTCTTAAGATTTTGTTTAAATGACATTTTATACTTCCTGCTCACTTGGGAACAAACAAATTAGGTCCAATGATCTCGATGACCCAATGAGACACTATAATTTGCTGTGTTAAATATGTAGGTCATCTCACTGCTATTCATGCTCTAAAATACAATCATGTAATAGAATAGGACAGAGCAGAGGTGTTTAAAAGTTGAGTAAAGGTAGAAACTAATCATTGATTCTGGTTACATCCAATCAACACCCAAAACAACTAATAACAGTGATGCAATGTCAAGTTCGTACACGTTGAAAATTGTATTTAAACGGGAGAGGATTTCGTTTATAAATTGATCTGATTATGAGCAGTTAATTTTGCTTGTGACGTATCACTGTTACCTCATAACAATTTACTTAATGTGATATGTTCTACTACATTGTCAAGCTATACTTGTGCACAAATGGTTACCAGCATCCAATCGTTTCAAGTTACAAGTTTGTTACAGGACTCCATCATGAGCTATAAGTGTTGAGACATCAATTCGTGAATTTCCGTTCGAATGGTAGGGCGCAAAATGTGTTATGAAGCAGCTCCAGAGAGATTACGATGTAGCTACTCAGTTTCTGATGAGAACGTTAGGTGCCAAGATCTTGAAAGAATAGTGTTTAAAGATGGGAATCTCTTATTTTTGAAGCAGATATCTTGTGCTTCATCATTTCTTTATCAAAACAAATATTAATTCGAGTATTGGTGTGTAGGGATTCGATTGACTGATTACAGGATTTCAACATGAGATGATATCGGTTAGAGAACCACTGAAAAACCTTGGAGTACTGGACAGTTGTTTGTTGGGCTGACAGTATTGGGCATATTGCTAGGCTTTTGAACTACAGTACATATATCCAGATTTTAGCTTAAGTATGTTAAAATGACTTAGTAACTTGTCTTATCGTCAACCTATTTGTTTACAGTAAAGTACTCCAGTCTGATTATTTGTGGTATCTGTTTAATTCAGCAAATCTTATTCGACATTTGTTTGTAGTGTTTTTCTTTGTTACAACTTATATATCCGCTAATTTAAAAGTTATATTGAATTTGATTTAAATTTCAAAGAACAGAATATTCATCAAAGAGACTCTTTTCAACGAATTTATTATCAATTCTGTATTAGATAAATTTATTTTAAATATCATACAGTGACGCGGTATTAACAACTGGATGACGTTTTGAGCACGACGTATTGCTCATAATCATATCAATTTAGTCACACGGTTTCACAATTTGTCTGTCTTTTCAACTTTCCTTTATTGTTTGTTGTCATTTTACATATCTCTGATACAGGCGTTGCCCAAGTTCTACATTTACACTAATTTATTATCAAACTGTACGTCCAAATTGCAAATATTGATTATTTTCGTAAAATATGGAGCCATAAAGAATAAATTTAAGACTCGGTGATTTAAAAATATGGTAATAATTGCAATCTTTTTCTTCCTGTCTTATTTAAATTATTCAGATGATAATTCGAAACTACATATCAATGTGATTGAATTTGAGAAGGATGATGATGCTAATTTCCATATGGATTTCATTACCGCAGCAAGTAACTTAAGAGCTGATAATTATGAAATTCCACCTGCCGACCGACTCAAAAGTAAACTTATCGCTGGTAAAATAATCCCTGCTATTGCCACCACAACTAGTTTGGTTGCTGGTCTGGTGTGTTTGGAGTTGTTCAAGGTTAGTGAATAATTTTCATTTGCGATTTCAAGAATATATGAGACAGCGAATAGGTCTCATATCCTAACTTCTCACCAATGCTGTACAGCTATGTAAGGATTCGTTTGTAAAATGTTAATTGTCAACAAAGATCAAAGGTTATTGTCAGTTAATGACAGAGATATAAAAGTGTATAAGTTGGATGATCCTATGTAATTGAGAAAGTGCATAATTAATTGAATTGATTAAATGTATAGTTTTTCGAAAATATTTATTAGGAAACAAGAGCACTAGAAACTGAAAGTGGATCACGAAAATATATTCACTCAGAATGTTGCATTACGCAGCAAATGAAGTGAGGAAAATTAGAACTGTGGCTATGACAGTAAAGAGGGATGGATAAAAGGTTCCTGACTGAAAGTCAGGTTTTCCCTACGGATATCATAGGCCTCGACTCCAATAAGATGTAGACGAAATGTTTTTGATTGGCATATTATGCTGAATGAAGTCTTTACCTACACAGCACTAGAACTGAGCTGTTAAATGTTATATGTCCTCTTTTTGGCAACCACGGTGGTACGTGGTCATGGGCAGTTCTAAACAATGTCCTGTTGGTGTAGTCGGGAGTAAGTGAACTGGTGAATACACATTAAAGTTTTCAACACTGAAATCTTGTCTTTGACCTTTTAGTGAACAACATTCATAGATATGCTGCTTTTGCCAAACGAATTTGGAGAACTTCACTGATAGTATGCTTTTTCAATTCCAAATTTAGAAATGGCTTTTCTTCGTGACATTCAGGTGTCATAGAGTATGGTTCTTTTTTCAAATTCTTACCAGTCAGTTTGTTAGGGATTCCATTTCCTTACTCAAATGCGACGGATTCCTGTATTAGGTAAGACTACGCGACTTCTTTTGTCTCCCGCAAGAGAAGTATAACAGTTTGTCAGCTTTCTCTGTCAATGAGCTTGTGGTAAATTGATCCGTTCGTTGTAAAAGCTGGACATCTAAAAAGGATGATTTACCTCCTGACTGACTCTAAAGCAAGCGGATCAATAAGCATGGTTCAAGATTTCTAGTATTTAACTTAGTTTAGAATTTTCATCGTTAAAGGTATCGTCCATATGTCGCTTTGGAATTTAAAACTGACTGGTGGTTGATTGAACGCTATTAAATTTCAGGTATGCCATGAAGCAGTCAGTCTCCTCAAGGTAAACTCACCGGTATTCCATCCCTCTATGGATATATTTGACTACTGAATAAAAACTGGATAGTTAATATGCATCTCAGTAATTAGCTTGTTGACATACTCTAATTGCCTATTAGCATTTGATTTTTGATTCAATGAACTAACAAACAGTACGTGGTTTTTCGTTAAGGGGTACACTGGTTAACAGAGAGATTACATCTGATGAAGGTATGATTGATCTAAATACGTTTATTCGTCTTATCGAAACCACTAATTCAGATATGTCTTAAGGAGTGCTTCATCATCATGATTCTCACAAACCCAGAGTTTTGGGGAGCCATAGTGCTACACAATGTTAATATGACCTAGACACGTCCAGAATCAGATTCATCGGCAGTCCATCTTCACAGACCTCAGGCAAACCATACTGGCGTGAAATTTTTGAACTAGAAGACAGAATCCCGTCATAGATTTGTGTGCTGGTTACTGAGCCCTGCTTCATGTTTTGAAGAATGTTTGCTAATTGTTTTTCTCCCCAACCTGATTTGAAAATTTCTTATCATTGTTGAGAATTCCTGAGGTCTTTTAGGTAAAAATTTATTGTTTGGTGGCAAGATTTTGTACTGACTGCTCTTATTTGTTATCAGTTATCTTCAAATTACTTGGTCATTTGTATGAAATTGTATTCATAACAATTAAGGGGTTGAATAGCAATTTTCTATATTCAATGACATTTTTTGTTCATGGAGCTCATTCATTTTGCTACGTTTTGTGTCGCACATCATTTGAATGTTTACGGATTACATTGTTACTTTTTCGTTGCAATTTTCAGATTGTCCAAGGACACAAAAAGCTCGAACTCTTTAAGAATGCATATGTTGATTTGGCTGCACCGTTCATTTCTTTCTATGAACCTGTGGCGCCTGCTAAGTCAAAATATTACGATACAGAATTTTCTTTGTGGGATCGGTTTGAACTGTCAGGCCAGATGACATTACAGGATCTTATCGACTACTTCAAGGTAGGTATACTTTATTTATATAGCTGATTTTTTTTAGAACAACTTGAAGTTAAATGTAACAATGTTGTCCCAAGATGTTTCTATGCTCTACGCATTCTTCATGCCAGAAGCAAGACGAAAGGAGCGTTTAGTTATGTCGTGAGTTAAATGAGTACTATATTATAATGTTATATTTTTTCGTCTAATAAATATTCATATAGTATGATAGCTGGTAGCGTTTGTATAATTGAACTGCAAAGTTGAAAAAGGTGTAGACAGATTTTGATATTAATATCTTCATCCTACTGCTTATGATAGTTGAAGCCGTACAGTAAGTAATGTGGAAATAGCCTTAAGCGTAAAATCCCTATTTATATGTAGTTCTTTCTGAAATAAGATCATGTGGAAAAGTGGAAAGTAGGCTGAAGTCATGTTTCGATGCTTCTAGTTTTTATGAAGACTTGATTATTGTGACATCCGTGTTTATTACAAATTCGTGAAAATTCAAAAGGAAATGATGTTTACTTTTTGAAAAAAGTTTCGTTGTGTTATGACATTCGGTAGTATCTAGTGTTTTTTGTTTGTAGATAAGTATGCTCTTTATGATGCTAACTAAGTCTTGCTTTAATAATAATACCTTTTTAGCCTAAAGCAACTTGTGGAAACAGTCAGTAAACGTCAAATCCCTCCACATGTGAACGCTCTGGTATTCGATGTTTGCTGCAGTGACATGAATGATGAAGATGTTGATGTTCCGTATATTCGATATGCACTTCAACGTGCCAAATAAGACTCATTTTTCCATGTCTTTCCCAAAGCATCCAGGTCGCAAACTGGATTTTGGTGATATTTCACATATGATATGGTCGACTTTGGAACTCTTCATTTTCATTCAAAAAAACTAACTAACTATAACTTGTTACTGAATAAATTTGCCAATGAAAATAAATAAGCGAACAGCATATATGCAGTTCTGTGAATCTTGTACGACATTTTGTTCTATGTAGCACTGTTTAAAATTGAAGTTGTGTCGAACGTGTTTGATTTATATCTTGCTCCGCCAATGTACTTCTGTGTGCAATGTTTCAAAAATCTGACTACTTGGGCTAGTTTAATTTTATTGATTGCTTTCCTTATCACATTCTTTCGAATGTTTGTTTTTTATGGTATTGAAGTTTACCAAAGAACATCTGAACACACCTACTTTATTTTTTCAGTGGTCATTGAGGCTAACAAGTTTTAATTTTGACATATACATCCATTAACGTGAGCTTTGAATCAATTTAGTTCGTTTCATAGTACGATAACAGGTCACTGAGTGTTTTTATTGGGAGCAATTTATAATATCGTCACTTTCGTATATTCTTAGATTAATGTTGTCCTCAGTTTGGGAAACTGAGCAGTATAATGAGACTCAGTATGTAGTGTTTTGCCCCAAATATGACGGAAAAGAAAACAGTTTTTAATTGGATGGCCTAAATGATCGCCCTTTTTCATGCCAATGAAATTCAACGGTTTCTGTCGATTGAGTTGCCTATGCTTAAGTGGGGTTAAGTGTTTTCGGTACTAATTTGTTTGCATTCGTTGAGATGTAGCCACATACATACTAAAGCTAGCATATCAGTGAGTATTTCTGAAGGGACTTCCATCTTCCCGATATTTTGTATAGTGACCGGTACGTTATCACATAAATTTTAGTCAAACGGTTGTCTTTTCACAGTGTGTTCGATGGCCATACAAGCAAGCTATGAACTGGTTGATTCATTATACTGAGCAATAGAGTTACTTATAGGAACGCTCTAATGTGTTTTGTACTACTGTTCACTTCTTTGCTGACTAGTGAATTCATTGGTATGCTTTTCCTTGTCTTATTCGCAATTGAGTTTAGTTGGTACTGAGAATAAGTTTGTTTCCACTGTCTAGTTTTGGCTGTAACATTTTCAGTACCCTCTGCAAAAGATGCGGTACTCAAATGGGTCCTCATAAACCTTCGTTAATGTGTTGTATGGCTAGCAGGTAAATTGCAATCGATTGGAGTGGCGTTACTTTTTCGTCATCTTCACATATGCGCCGACAGATTGCAGCCTTGATACAGATAAAGATGAGTTCTCTCAACTGAGTGAACTTCTGAAGCATGCGCGTCCAGTAGGCATCATAGTGCTAGCTGGGGACTCAGGTGCACGGGTTGAAGGGAGTTTTTTAGGTGGTTTTGGGAGTCAAAATGACCCCATGTTAGGTAAGGAAAGACCGTCTTTTGCAGTTCTGTTCGAATTTCTAGCCAGCAGCAACATCTGACACTGCCATAGCGGTAGTGCTTTGTAACGTACACCAGTTTTATCTAGCGATTGGGAGATGGTCATAAACGTTTTCCTCAACAGGTTGAGGACAAGTATCAAGCTGAGTTATAGTCGATGCCTGCTACGAACCTCCTAAATAGTACATTATAGGTTAGTCTCACAAGGCGCCATTGAAGCAGTGAGAAAAGCAGATTGCGGCTTAAAAAAAGATCACCGAGTTGCGTGCCCGTCCGTTTTGGTGGATAGTGAGTATAACAGGGCTTTAACACATGAGACCATACAGCATCTGCTTAAGGACTACAAAGCCTGGTGGACAGAACATGAGTGTGATATGTAAAGTGCAGACAGTGCGATAACATGTAGGCTGCCCAAATTAAACTAAATCAGTCGGCGACCAGTATCCGTATTTATGGTATGTGCTTTGCTCCATCTAAGCACAAAGTTTTCTTGCTAGGTTGGTAGGAGCGCGTTCATGCACTCCCAGGTAAGCCATTAGAAGTAATTCATAAGCTAGTGAATCTAGATAGTTGTTTTGAGTGAGGATAAAGTCTTATAGTGAAAGGCAGGATGATACACGTCAACTTAGGCCACTTCAGGTTCTGTTACGAGGTTATCATGGCATGATGGTGCATTTTTGTAAGAGGAAACCGAAGAGAACGTTTTCACTTGGTCCTTGTTGATAAAGGTAAAAATATCCAGTGGAAAGGTGAATCGAATTCACAGGGTGCATTTTACTTAGAAGCTGACGGATGTACTCTACAATGCATCTATAAAAAGTTCCGAAGAAACCGGGTTTTTGAATTCCGCTCGGTACTACCATGTATCTCATCAATCTTTTTCTAAAATATTCAAGCGGAAATTGTCAAAATATCAAAAGTATGTGAGTGATTCTGATATGTAGTGAATCGTCCTCACTATTCTTGTTAGTTTGGTACTTTCCATTATCGCCGACTTCTGCGCCTTCAACGAACTGGTGATTGGTGGCAGTGTATACAAGCACAAAGATATCCACAAGGCTACATGGGTGTCACCAGACGGGCAAACCAAAAACCAAATCGACTTCATCTCAATCTCAAGGAAGTGGAGGCGCAGCCTACTGGACACAAAAGCAAGAAGAGGAGCAGACGTTGGCTCAGACCACTATCTCGTACAAGGGACAATCCAAATCAAATTAAAAGCTTTCAGGGAATCAGGAGCTGCAGATAGACCACAAGCCAAGTTCAACACTCAAAAGCTGAAGGACCAGGCTACAAAGGACATCTTCATTGCAAGCATAAAGGACAAAGCTGAGACACAAATCAACACCAGCGAAAGGTCGGCGTTGAAAAGCACTGGAACAACTTGAAAACGGTGTGGAGCCAAACCTGCATAGAAATTCTAGGCAGAAAAAAGAGACAGGACAAACAGTGGCTCACTACGGACACTTGGAAACTAATAGAAGAGAGAAGGACAGTGAAGCAAAAGATTATCCAGTGCACTGACGAGCAACAAAAACAGGAGCTGAATGCAAGCTACAATACACTGAACAAAAGAGTGAAGAAAAGTGCCAGGGAAGACAAAAGAAAATATTATGAAACCATGGCAAACGAAGCAGAACAAGCTGCAGGCAAAGGAGACCTCGCCACACTCTACCAAACAACTAGGAACCTTTCGGGCAAACGTTCGACACAGATTAAGCCAATAAAGGACGACAATGGAAAGTCAATCACCAAAGAGGTGGAACAGAGAAAGCACTGGGTTGAACACTTCAAAAGACTTCTAAATCGTCCGCCACCTACAACACGTCCAGCAATACCAACAACGGAAGCAGAACTACCAGTGAACACTGACCCCCCGACGAAATCAGAAGTCCTGAATGCAATCAAGATGCTTAAAGCTGGGAAAACACCGGGACCAGATGGAATCCCAGCAGAGGCTTTGAAAATAGACCCAGAGACAACAGCGGACTTGATGACACCACTGCTGGAGAAGGTGTGGAAAGAGGGCAAAGTACCCGAGGATTGGAAGAACAGTTACTTATTCAAACTTCCAAAGAAAGGAGACTTAAGTCAATGTAAAAACTGGCGTGGAATTATGCTTCTGTCCATTCCAAGCAAGATACTAAGTCGCATCATCCTGGAGAGAATCAAACAAGCCCTAGATGAAAAACTTCGTCCGGAACAGGCTGGATTCAGGAGAAACAAATCATGTATTGATCAAATCGCCACTCTACGGATCATCATTGAACAAAGCTTGGAATGGCAGTCACCTCTCTATCTCAACTTCATCGACTTTGAAAAGGCCTTCGACAGCGTCGATCGAGAGGTCATTTGGAAACTACTTCGCTACTACGGGGTCCCATCGACAATTATACACCTCATCCAACAGTTATACGACAATGCTGCATGCCAAGTAATCCACAACGGGAAACTTACGGAAGCCTTCGAAGTGAGGACGGGAGTGAGGCAAGGCTGTCTACTATCACCAATGATCTTCCTGATTGCAATTGATTGGATAATGCGACAGACAACGGCAACCAACGAGGGAACAGGCATAAAATGGACTGACACAAAAGACTTGGAGGATCTGGATTTCGCCGATGATATATGTCTGATTTCCCATAAACTGGAAGATATGCAAGTGAAAAGTAACAAGTTGGCAGAAGAAGCATCAAAGATAGGACTTCACGTGAACATAGATAAAACAGAGATAATGAAGATTCCTAGCCAACATCAACAACAACAACAGACAACAATAAGCATAAATGGGAAGAACCTGAAAGAAACAACCTCCTTCACCTACCTGGGAAGCATCGTCTCAACTACAGGCGGAACTGACGAGGACATCAAAGCCAGAATCGGAAAAGCAAGACAAGCTTTCATTACTCTCAAATCTGTGTGGAGGTCAACAGCAATCAGCATCAAAAATAAGATCCGGATTTTCAACTCCAATGTGAAGTCAGTGCTACTATACGGATCAGAGACTTGGCGAGTCATAAAGAGCATCTCAAACAAACTTCAAACCTTCATTAACAACTGTCTCCGCTCAATACTCAAGATCAGATGGCCAGAAAAGATCAGCAACAGGGATCTCTGGGAGCGAACCAATCAGGAACCGATTGTGAAACAAATAGGCAGAAAGAAATGGAGATGGATTGGCCATACGCTGAGGAAACCATCAAGTGACATCACTAGACAAGCCCTCGAGTGGAACCCGAAAGGGAGGCGGCGAGTTGGTCGTCCAAGGGTGACTTGGAGGAGGTCATGCGAGGAGGAGATGAAAGCATGTGGACAGACCTGGAGCAGGGTGAAAAAGTTGTCAGAAAACCGAAGTCAATGGAGGTGCGCAGCTGAAGCCCTATGTTCCTCTAGGAACTAAAGGATACAATAATAATAATAATAATTATCTAAGCTGTAGTCTTCCTTTGTAGGGCTGTTGGTTATGTATGAAATCCAGATAAACAGCGCAAACTCTACCAAGGAGAAGTAGACGTCGAAAACCACTATACCATGAGGATGGTTACTACTCAGTTTCAAATACCCAGCATCATATCACTATAGTTGTTGTTGCTGTTAGTTTATTTGTATGTATTTTATTCTTTTACGTTCCCAGTGGAACATAAGGCTTCAAGCTAGAGGCTTGAAGTTTCGGTAGCAGTATTGTTTGTTTTATGGGATGCCCAAATTCCCCTCTTTACCAGTCTAGTTACGAGGGCAAGGAGTGCATTGGTCAGGGATCGAACGCCGGACCAAACGCATGGTTGGGTAGCATTCTACCACTGTGTAACCGATGCACGTTCTGTAATCATCTTTAAACATACTGTTTGGAAAACAAACAATGAATAAATGTGTTCAAAACGGAAATGTAACTGCAAAAGCTATCATAAAGTGAATTAGTATCTCAGAAATAATGAATTGTAAAATGCAACTAAAATGTATTTTAAGACAAGCCTATTTTCGCACATTTGCGTACCGCTATTAGGAGACGGAGTTTATCTGAAAAATATAATCCATATACACAATAATTACGCACATTTTGGTCACACATTCACTTGTCGAGTCAATTTATATAAGAAATAAGCAAAATGATAAGAGATTTAACATTAAGAATAACTAACACAACTCTCGGTAATATAATCAGACAGGGATTATCGAGCTTAGGTTACGAGTGATAGTGAATTTTTTTGTATACACAGATATCTTAGTTTCGCAGTTAACTATAGCCTCAGCGTATTTTAGTATCCGCTCTCGATGGTTTTTTAAAAATAATCTAGCAACTTGTTTTGATGTCAACCTTGTGAATCATAACCATTCGGCGTTTTGCTATAAATGAAGTAGGCAGTCTGTCGTTGTTCATCGAAGTTCTGCTGTTTATTTATATTTTCGCCGCAGTCAAAATACTTTTATGTTTCCGATGTTTTAGTTACGACATTGATATGCTAGCTACTTCAACAAAGTCAGCTTTCAACCAGCTCTGACTCCCTGTCTAGTTCTAAAGAAGACTAAAGAACTTAGTCGGTCATAAAGATTTTCAAACTAGGGATGGATGTCTAAATCAGAGATATTGGTTGACGGGGTAGACAAATTGAAAGTAAGTCACAACGCCTGTTTCTCATCTGCTGGAATTTCAATGAACGAAAAATACATCATGTACTTTGATAAACACTGATCAACTGGTGTCATGTCTCTAGTCTGTTTTGTTCGGTGCAGACAGGATTCTGTCAGTCAAGTCAGGAGAGACATAAGTCCCTTGCTGTTAAATGGCAACGAGCGCAAAACCTAGGTCCAGGGCTTTCTGGCAATGGCCTACTATCAACTGTCACCAAATGCTTATCAGGATTTACTAGAAATTGGTCTAAGTGATGGTCATTGGCACCCGATTCGAGTAATTTCTGTCTAGTATCTATTTCGCTTTATTATTAGCAGAGCTACGAAAACTGATGAACTAGATATAGCGAATTACAGAAATATCAATATGAGATTTTTTAAGGTGAAAAACGTTTGAGTATTAGGTTGTAATTTAGATGATCGAAGCCATTTGTAAAGCACTCTTCAGAATGTGTAACTGAAAAGACGAATTTTTAGAAAAAAGTCGTTGTTTCACTCTTTCAGATTTTACTTTACACTTAAAGTTAAAGAGCCCATTTAATCTTTTTATAGTGTATGTAGCCAGTCTTCTCAAAAATGAAAACAGTTAGCCCTTTTTAAGGATATTTGTGGGGTTATTGGAAGGCAGACTTTATCTAGCCTATCATTTTTAATATAGACTGATTTAACAAGTGAATGTATAATCAGATATTTCGAAATGTATTGCTCAAACATATTACTTTTTTTTATCGAATAAAATTCGTTTTCTAATGTTATCCAAATATAATCTATTCTCTCTATAACTAGTCATGTAACGATTATTATCTGCTTACACCATGCTGTATTGTAAACTTATTGGTGGTTTACATTGATGTTGTACGCAACGTAACACAAGTGGTTAAATAGCATAGCAAATAAAACATTCAGATTGATGGATTCTTGTTTCATGTCTAAGCACACAGTCACTCGTCGCAGAGTCGACACTTATAACTAACAAGTTTAAGTCAGGATGTGGTGTGCCTTGTAAATCCGGGTGCTTTTACTGCGCACAAGTAGATAGCTTCAGAACAGTTGTAAATTGAATCTCAAAGTAACATTTAAGAAACCATATAAAAATTGAGTCCGATCATTTCGGTTCACCAAGTTTAATAAACGGAGAATCACAGCTATTCGTTAGTAAAATCACTCATTGGTAAATTCCATAATTACAAAAAAAATAATAGATTCAACCAACACACCTTGGTTCATTTTAAGATTTGAACTCATCAAATAATACTGAATTCATCTGAAGATTTACATCAGTGAAAGATTATTCATCAGATTTAAGTAGCTGGTCTGATCATATATTAAAGGGTATCATGATAATAAATCTTATTCTTATACGAGAATGTGTCA